CCAAGCTTTAAAAATTCTATCTCAGACCTTATTATTGGAGTAAATTTCTCTTTAGGACTGTGAAACTCCCCCTCCCCCACCCCCCAATTCACTTTGTAATGTGTGTCCTGTTCCAGATTGTTAATTTTCATACATAATCATCCGTTTTTTACAGACTGTCCTTCCCTTCATCTTTTCCAGTGCAGTGTTCATTATCTCTGCATTCTTTCCCTGTTCACCATCCTGTTATAATAGTAGCCTTATGCAGTATTTGCTCTTTTTTAAACTGAGATATTTCACTCAGCATAATGCCTTCCAGACTCATCCATGTTGTGTAGTGTTTTCTGAGTCCATGATTTTTCAGTACTGCACTATACTCCATCATGTCAGTGTATCACAGTTTCTCATTCTTTTATTGATAGACCCTTGTATTGCTTCCTTCTCTTTGTGATTGTGAATAATACTGCAGTAAACCTGGGTGTGCGTACCCAGGTTTGTGTCACTGCTGTGAATTCTTTGGAGTAAATTCCCAACAGTGAGATAGTGAGTTAAATGATAATTCTATTTTAAATTTTTTTAAATAAAATTTTTTATTTTAATTGTGATTTTAACAAAAGTTTACAGAAAAGTAAGATTTTCATCCATTCATTATTGCACCTTTCCCCCTTCCCTTTTCTTCTCCCCAAGTTGACTTTTAAAAATACTAGTTTATTTACAAAATTCAAATACACTGTTTTTGAGAACAGATTCTTCCAGCTTCCCTTAGATGCGCCAGCCTTCTTCTGTAGTGTTTTTATCATTTGACATTCCCACCAGCAGTTTATGAGAGTTTGGATCTCTGCATCCTCGCCAGCATTTGTTGTTTGCTGTCCTGTTAAACTTTGCTGTTGTTGGTAGAATGAGATGATACCTCATTGTTTTGACTTGAGGATTGTTAATTTTAAAGTTTGATTCTTTTAGATGACAGTCATTGCCTGAACTTAAAGGTGATTGTTTCATTTCCAATATTTCTATCTCTGTGTGTATTGTGGGCTCTACAACTAGGGTAGTTTGAAGAGACTTGAGACTCCCAGGGTGGGAGTCTCTCTCTCTCTCTCTCTCTTTTTTCTTTTTCTTTCCCCTTTAAATTTTGTTTATAACCTTTGATAGGTCATGGTAAATAGTAATGATAAAAAAGAAACAAAAACCCTAGAAAATGACTAGTTGCTATTTGTTGATTGTTTCAAGAATAACTAGAAGTAATGTAGGTAAGCCTTTTATCAGGCCCACTGTGCCTTTTTACAGAGTAATTTGTTGCTTTTACCAAGGTTTGCGTATCACCCAGGAGAGTCATGCCCAGTCACTGCTTCTCTGTGGAGAGCCATTTGATTGTGGAATAAAGTTGACGTAACCTAGCTCTTATCCTTTGGAATTGAAGTAGGAGCAAAAAGAGATTTTTATGAATCAGTTAGAACTTTCTCAGATACACTCTGTGAAGCGTTTGATCTTTACCCTTAAGAACTATGCCTAAAGGATATGAAATCTTTATCAAATTTCAAGGTCTGTTAGTTGCCCTGATTGCTGAACAGATGATCCATAAATCCAGTATGTGTTAACCTTTTTGAATTTATCTTTTAATACCATTTGTGTCAGTTTTCCCTGAATTTGTATCTCTTCCTTAGCTTCTTTTCATTTTAATGAAGCTGAAGAAAAATTATTTTTGGTACTAGTTTTTCTTTCTTTTTTTCTTTTCTTTTTGTATGTGTGGGAGTGAGGAGGAGTCCGGGTGAAATTATGGGATGTGAGTGATGGTGATTGTAGGAGGGATTAGGTGTGGAAATGGGGATTGCTGATGTGATTTGTAAAACTAACGTTTGTATTCTTGTCTGAAAAGTGAAGCTTCGTATGTCAAGGCTGATCTTAAACACTCATGTATGTGTTCTGCATTGTGTTGAGATTATCGGCAGCCATCATTAGGAACATCAGTTGGTGTCCTAGAAATATAGCAGTTGTTCTAGACTGTAGAAGTATATCTCAGCCCACACCCCACAGTCACAGTCAGCAAGCAGGTTTGGGGTCCCACATGTGAGAGAGCCTTGTGCTGGCTCCGCGGAGAAATGGTGGTAAGCAAACCAACCAAACTAACCCACTGCTGTAGACTTGATTCCAACTTTGAGGGACTTCATCAGGTTTCTGAGACCATGAATCATAACAGGAGGAGATGATCTGATTTTGTGGCCCATCTTTCTGCCACAAAGCTGCTGGGGATTTTGAACCACTGATCTGTTGATTAGCAGCACAACACGCCACCAGACCTGCTTTGGTATAAATGTAATTTATATAGTGCCTTTTATAGAGTACTTCATTATGCTTCAGGTATTGTAGTGACATTTTTTTCATCCATATAACATTACTTTGAGAATGTCCTATCTTCATTTTAAATTTTATCCTGGCAAGTATATATGCATGATGTTTGCCAATTTAGTAATTTTACATGTACAATTCAATGACATTGGCCATGTAATTGTGTTGCACGCTCATTACTTCAGTCTGCTGCCAAATTTCCCTTCGCCATTGGCAGATAAAATGTGTGTTCTAAGCAGTAGCTCATTGCTCTTCCTTGGCTTTTTGTATATTTCTCAAAACCTATTTATTGCCCAATGCTTGATCTTTGTGTTTTTAAGTTCTTACCTAGTTTCTTTTTTTAAATTTTTTTTTTACTTTTAAAAAATTAATTTTAATGAAAGTTTACAGAGACTTTGGATTTCCATTCATTCATTGTTGCACTTTCCTCCCTGCCCAACCTCCCCCATCAGTTCACTCTTACCTAATTTCTGTAGATGAGGAAATTGAGATCCCAACCAGCTGGACAGCTTCAGAGTCAGGTGGTAAAGCATCAACTCAGTGTTTGCATGAGTATTTTGAGAGAATTTGAAAGGATGGCTCTTGCCTAATTAGTGTTAGTGCTAGGGTTTCAAACTGAGGATGTCTTTTTTTTACTTCTTCCTCATTCAGATAAAGGAGGGAGAGGGGTTTAGCCTTCTTGTGTTTAGATTGCTATGTGAAATTTGTGTTTGAATTAACAGCAGGGTAGTGAAATGACAAAAGCATAGCATGGGATCAGGAGACCTCCTTGCCTGAATTTGAATGCCTTTGGCAAGACCCTATTTTTCTTCCTTCTTTGTGGCTTTAGGGGAGGGGGGAACCCCTGAGGTTTGGTCCTGTAGCCTCAGTAGAATCTAAAGTCTAGACTTAGTTTGTATTTCTTTGAAGGAGGGATAGGCACAAGGGTTTTGAGCTTGCCGAAGCCTCTTGCATGTCCTGAGAGAGCTGTCTCTTCCAGTTTGAGAGATTCCTAGTGTTTATTAAATATAAACATGAATAAACATGCACATACGTGCAGCCACATGCCTCAGATGCTTTTCTGACTGTTACATGCAGTTACACAACTCAAGATGGAGAAACTAGATTCAGTGCTATGCTCCTGTCATTTTCCTTAAACACAGCTGAACCATTCAGGTACCGAACAATAACAGTCTTTTAGAGTGATTTAGAAGCCTCAGAACCTCCTTTGATGTCTTTGGGTCAAGAACTCTTCTCTGGAGGAGTATGTGTGTGTGCACGCCCCGTCCCTGTCTCTGGTCTACGTGTGTCTGTTCTGCCTGCCACTCCTATCTGTGAATATGTGGATGGATGTCCAAGGCTGTGGTCACTGCTGCCCTTCTGCCCAGCAGGCTTGTCTAGAATTAGATTCCTAGCATATTTTATAAGTAAAGCTTTGTAAATACTGACACTATAATTAGCGTGCTTTTAAAATGCACAGAAACAGCCCAGGGAGCCTAGTCCCAGCACAGACAAGTTGTATGCCAGCATCTGCTCTTTGGATCTGATGCATACCCCAAATTAAACATTACATCGAAGAGTGATTTCTACACACACACTCACTCACACACACACACACACACACACACACACACACACACACCCTGCCTGTAATAACATAACTAGGAACCTTAGAGTAATGAGTTATTACCATTTTGGACTAGTCTTTACTCATTTTTGTCACAGGAAATGGAAGGGCCAGATGTAAATAGTATCATTTTGCAAAACTTTTTCTGCTGATGCTTATTCAGATATGAAATATTCTTTTCATATCTCAAGTGCACTTTTAATTTTCATTTGTAACCTAATACTTGGCTTAATAAATTTGAAATTAGAGATTCAAAAGCCATTTAACAAATTTTCATGTGCAGGAACCTAAAATGGAACAATTGAATTAATTGTGTGTGTGTGTGTGTGTGTGTGTGTGAGAGAGAGAGAGAGAGAGACAGAGACACTCTCTTGATGTGCAGTCCTGAAATTACTGGAGATAATGCATGGATACTTTTTTTTTAAATTGCAGTTGTTACTTAATGCTTCTTAAGCAGGCAGTTCTGCCTCTGTGTTCTGGTTTTGTGGTGTGCTCTGATACTGCAGAGCTTGAGAGCAACTCTGCAGTTGGCTTCAGCTCTCCAGTCTATAGAAGACTAGAGTTCCTTTTTGGAAGACTTGCTTTACATTTGTGCTCTTTGTTGGTTTGGAGTCAACAAAATAAATACATTGTAAGTGATGTTTAATGGTTAATATTTTCCCCCTGTGGTGGTCTTTCCCAGAGCTGGCTTATCATACTGTAGTCTTGTATAAGAGAAGACAAATGATGTTTCCTTCATGAAATGAGTTTTTAAAAAATTTGCAAACATTATTGATATTTTTCTGTTCAGTTAAACTTAATTGCGGATAGATTCCTAAGATGGGTTTTTGTTTGTTTTTCCTTTAAAATTCATATTAAAAATATAACATTGTAACATTTGATTGGAAATTTGTAAACTTGCTTTCTAGCTCAGTAGTTTTCATGTCCTTTTTATCTAGTAAGTATAAAATTAATTTATTACTGTATCATAATGTGTTATCATCATGTCTGAGCTTTCTTTTTACAGTATTTTTGCATAATGGAAAAAATGAATGACACTAAATTTTCTCCTTTTTCTTTTTAAGACTTTCAACTGAACTCTCATCTGTCAACACTGGCAAATATTCATAAAATCTACCACACCCTTAATAAGCTAGTAAGTCCATCTTTTAAAGACAAAACTGACAACTATCTAGAGTAGATATTTTATTTAAATGTATTTGATAAAAATTTTGATTTATGGTTATTAACTGTGAAAACGCTGAATTTTAAAATGCGCTGTGTAATGTGTGACTTCTTGGTAACAATGAACGTATTTCTTACAGAATCTTACAGAAGACATTGGCCAAGACGATCACCAAACAGGTATTCTTAAATGCTAACATTAATATGTTTTAAAATTTGAGGTGAAATTTACCTAACATAAAATGACCCACTTGGAAGTAAATAACTCAGTAGTTATTAATTATATTGACAGTGTTCTGCAACTGTTACCTCTTAGAAAGTTATGAAGGAACAATACTGTGTTGTCACAGTGCTTTCTGTTATTGAAGTTCCTGCTTGGTTGTTGTTAGGTGGATACTATGTAGTTCACTCTAGCTACCCTGTGTACAGCAGATAATTCCTTGCTTGAGCCTATCCTGTCCTCACATCTCTGCAGACCTTCAGCCCATTGTTGCAAGCTCTGTGTCACTTCATCTCATTGAGGATTTTCCTCTCCTCCACTGACCCTCTACTTTTCCAAGTATGATATTTTAAGGACTGGTGCCCCCTAACAGGATGTCCAGAAAATGTGAGTCAGAGTTTGACCATCCTTATTTCTCAAGAGCTCTCAGGCTGCACATCTTGTAAAGGACATTTTTCAGAGTTTAGTGGAGGTGCCTGTGTTACAGCTCCTTCCCAGTAGGAAGTCTCTTCTAATATTCTGCTTCGTGACAAGGCACTTTGGTGCCTTTGAAGAAGGCCGGGAATTTCAGGATGCCGCTTCTTTACTGACACAGTTCATACTGAAAAAGTGCCACAGTGTAACAGTTTGAAACGAATGTTGAATTGAGCTGGAAATGTGTTCATGTCTATATGTGTTATACTAGTTTTGAGGATTTATAAAAGACAGTTGAAGCCTGATTAGGATGAAATTTTCTCTGACCTTGTGATTTTCAGACTTTATCTAGGATTATAACCACCAGGAGAGGGCTTTATAAAACACCAGTTGGTAGACCACGCCCCTAGTGTTTTGGACCTGGTAGGTTTGGGGTTGTTGTTAGGTGCTCTCAAGTCGAGTATGACGCATAGTGACCCTATGAACAGCAGCTCTGAACCCTGTCCTGTCTTGCACCATCCTCACCATCTCTGACACTCTAAGCTTATTGCTGCAATTACTGTGCCAGTCCATCTTGTCACTTGTGTTACTCTTTCACTGACCTTAACCTTCCCAAGCCTCTCCTCACAACATGCTCAGAGTATGTAAGATGAAGCTTTATTATCTTTGCCTACAAGGATCAGTCTGAGTGGACCCTCTCTAGACATATTGGTTTGTTCTATTGGCATCCCATGAAATACTCAATACTCTTCAGTACCTGAGCTCAAAGGGACCAGTTCTTTTCTATCGTCCTTCTGCTGACATTCTTCTCTCAGGTTCAGGGCTGGAATTTTCATTTCCAGCAAGCCCACAGATGTTGCTGATGTAGCTGGCCTAGCACCACAGTTTGGGTACCACTTCTCTAAACTGTTGATAATCAAGAAGAAAGTTGTACTTGATCTTTAGCTCCTTAAACTTCTAGAAACCATTAGGCGGCTGTTGCTGAGTTAATTCTGACTCATGGTGATTTTTCATTGCATTTCCAAGACTATAAATCTTAATTTGACAGAATACCTTACCTTTTTTCCTCGTGACTAGCTGGTGGATTTGAACTGTTAAACTTTCTGTTAGCAGCCCAGTACATAATTCCACTATGCCACCAGAGCACTTTGCCAGTAAACATTACATTGAACATTATTTGGAAAAGTAAACAGTAACTTAAATAACAGTGCTTGTTGAAGAATTTTGAATAGCAGAGAAGGAAGTGGAGTATCAAACAGTAACAGTTCTTCCCAACTCCTTCCTCACTCCTACTGCTTTTCCCACCAAACCGTAGTCCCAGTGGAGCTGGTCCTGACTCCTAGTGGTCCTCCCCCGGATTTTCAAGGCTGTATTTCCTTAAGGGAGGACACTACTCTTCTTTCTTCCAAGGAGCAGCTGGGGGGTTATGACTGCTGACTTGGTTAGCAGACCTGTTCCTTACTTGCCACCAAGGCTTCTAGCCTTCCCTCAGTTCACACCGTGATTACATTCCTTTTAGACATTATAAATCTGCATGTATTTAAATAAATGCTTATTATCTTTGTACATATTTTATAGTAGGGTTGGTTTATTTAGTGTCAGTGGCATTAGACTGTACCTAATATATGTTGTTGTTAGATGACATTGAGCATGACTCGGTGATCCTATGAACAGACCCTGTCCTATTCCTGTGCTATCCTTGCTATTTCTGGTACACGTGAGCCCATTGCTGCTGTTAGCAGGTCAGTCAGTCTCGTTGTGAGTCTTCCACTCTTTTGCTAACTCCATCTTTCCAAGCATGATGTCTCTTTCCAAGGAATAGGCTCTTCTAGCAACATGCCCAGTGTATGAGAGATGAAGCTTTGCCATCCTTGTCTCCAAGGAGCACTCAGTAAACTTATACTGTATCTTGGGGAATGTTGGGATTTAGGATGCTCCCCTTGAGACTGGCTCAGAACCAAATGAGAATTAGACACAGCATTCAGATGGAAATGCAGGTAGATGGTGTCTTCAGTCAGATGTGCACCTCAGAACAACAACATATAATAAATATGGAAAGAGCTGGAGTCAGAGAATCAAAAGGGCCAAACTCGCTCAGCATGTCTTAAGCTCAAGATACTGAAGAACAAATTCAACCCTCAAGTTGCAATACTTAAGGATGCTGTGGGCAGAATAATAAACGATCCAGGAAGCATTAAAAGAAGATGGAAAGAGTCTACAAAGTCATTGTACCAAAAGGAATTGGCCAACACAGGACAATTTCTTGAGACGACATATGAGCAAAAGCCTGTGGTGATGAAGAAGTTCAAGCTTCTCTGAAAGAATAGGCAAAAACCAAGGTGCCAGGAATTGATAATATTTCAACAAACAGACACTGCCCTGGATATGCTCACCAAGGTGTGCCAAGAAATCTGGAGGACAACCACCTGGCCAACTGACTGGAAGAGATCTATATTTGTTCCCATTCCAAAGAAAGGTGATCCGACAGAGTGCGGAAATTATCAAACAGTATAGGGTCACTATGAGTCGCAAGCGACTCGATGGCACATAACAACAACAAAAACATCATTAATATCACATACAAGCTCCAAAAACGACTGGAACAGCACATCAACAGGGGACTGCCAGAAGTGCAGGCTGGGTTTAGAAGAGGCCGTGACACTAGGAATATTGTAGGTAATGTTAGATGTATGCTGGCTGAAAGCAGAGAGTACCAGAGAAATGTCTTACCTGTGTTTCATTGACTATGCAAAGGCGTTTGACTGTGTGGATCACAACAAATGGTGGCTAACTCTGAGAAGAATGGGAATCCCAGAACACTTTATTGTGCTCTTGTGAAACCTATACTTGGACCAAGAGACAGTTGTCAGAATAGAGCAAAGAAACACTACTCTGGATATGTGTTCTATCTTCATACCTTTTCAGTCTGTGTGCAGAACAGATTATCCAGGAAGATGGGCTCTATGAGGAGGAATGTGGCATCAGGATTGGAGTTAGACTCATCAATAGTCTTTGAGTTTTGCAGATGACACAACCTTGCTTGCTGAAACTGAGGAGGACCTGAAGCACTTGCTGCAGAAGGTCAAGGACTGCAGACTTCAGTGTGGGTTGAAGCTCAACATCAAAAAAAAAAAGATTCTCACCACGGGGCTGACTGGCAGCATTGTGATTGTTGGTGAAGAGATTGAGATTGTAAACAGCTTTTGTTTGCTTGGCTCCCCATCAACACTCTTGGCACCAGCAGCCAGTAAATGAAAAGACTTATTACATTGGGAAAGTCTGAGGAGCAGTGATGCCAGTCTGGAGACTAAGATGCACCCAATAGCAGGCCATGGTCTTTGCAATCACTTGCTATGCATTAGAGAGCTGGACAGTGACTAGGAAGTATAGAAGGAGAATTGATGCCTTTGAGCTGTGGTGTTGGAGAAGAGTATTGAATATACCATGTACTGCTAGGAAAACAAACAGGTGAAGCCAGGCTACTCCTTGGAGGCAAAGATTCTGCATCTTTGTCTGACATACTTTGGACATGTGGCAGGGAGGGACCAGTCCTTGGAGAGGAACATCATGCTTGGGAGGGTGGAGGACAGTGTAGGAGGGGAAGACCCTCTGTGAGGTGGATTGATTCAGTGACTTGGGGTAATGAGCGTAGGTGTGTCAGAGACAATAAGATAGGCACAGGATAGAGCAGGAAGGCAGCTTGTTGGCACATAACAGCAGCAACAATCTCACTGATACTAAATAAACCAAAACTTCTATAATGTGTGTGTGTGTGTGCGCGCGCGCACGCACATGCGAGTGTGTTGTTCAACGGATTAGATTGTGAACAACAAAGTAGGTTATGAAGCTGCTATGGCCTGTTTTACGTACAATAGAATAGGTTGTAAAGTGGCTTGGCTGCTCCCATGCTCGCTTGACAGTTTATTACTTTAAGTTCATTGTTGGAGCTACTCTGTTGGACCAGCTCATTGAGGACCGCCTTTTTCACTTCCTACCCACTCTTCCAAGCATGATATCTTTCTTCCATAACTGCGCTTTTCCCTGACTTCCCCAGAGCATGCCCAAAGGGATCTTTTTGGCTCTGGACTGCCAAAAGAACAAACAAACCCGTCCTGGAAGAGGTATGTTGTTGTGTACTGTCGAGTCAAAACCAACCCATAGTTGACTCTTTGGTGGGTTTCAGGGGCAATTAATTGAAAGGGAGGGGATTGCCCATCCTCCTCCTGTGTAGTAGCTGGTGGCCTTGAACAGTATACCTTAGGGATTTCAGCACAGCTTCTTGCCACGAGGCTATAGTCAGAATATTATTTAGAGAGAAAGGAACAGAAATTTCTTTTGTCTTAAACAGTAGAAAAGGAAATGATACATTTAGTAAATAATAGTTTCACCCAAGCTTACAGGGAGTTTAATAATCTGTTTAAAAACTTGAAATAAAATACTACGTACTGGTTGTTGTTGTTGTTATGTGCCCTTGAGTCACCTAGGCAACCCATAGCAACCCTGTGAACAGCAGCTCTGAACCCAGCCCTGTCCTGAGCCAGTCTCA